AATTGTAAGAAAGCAAGAAATAAATTATGATAGAGACACACACCTGGGCTCGTGATGAAAATCACCAGACCTAACTGAATACCTCTATATCGCCTTATATTGTCATTAACTTCCCCTGCAATGGCACCAAAAATGCTTGCCCTCCAAAGGGGTTGTATTTTCACGAGTGCTCCCAAGCGTAAGAGAATAGAAGTCTAAGGTCGTCTCTTCAGGGGAAGATTTGCAATCCAAGGTGATGAAAAATAAAAGGAAAAAATTCTTTGAACTTTGAGAGCTAGAAATTAACTACTAATGAAAAAGAAATTCAACAATTGGAAAGACTAGATAATCTTCAGCATTCATCCTACCAATGAATAAGAATTTCTACCCTAAATCTATAACTAGCACAAACAGATGATTTTTCAACTAAAATCTTTAGGGAGTATCAAAAGTAGCAATTGAAAAATAGTTTATGATGAAAGAATCAATATCCTAAAGGTTGTAGAAAACACCACTAATTATCTATACCAAAACCAATTATATATAGATGATAGGAAAGTATGCAAACCAAATAGATTTTTGAAAGCATAACTTATTCAAACAATCACATAAAAGCTAAAACCCTAGTTTAAGGCATAAATCCTAATTCATTGGTTAGGTCTCCTCCTTCATATTATCCATAGAAAGACTACTCATTATTGATAATTTAAACAATAAAAAATATTAAAGAAGACATAATTAAAATTAGAAAAGTAAAAATTGGCTTAAAAGTAAATGCTTGTATTGAAAAACTGAATTTAAATAAAGCCTTGAATATTGAAGACAATGAATGTAAGATTGCTAGACAATTGAAAGAACAAAACTTAAAAGAAAGAACAGTAGCAAAACTCTCCAAATAACCCTAACACTCTTTAAACGTAAAAAGTAGAGAAAACTAAAGAAAGGCTCAAAAAATTAATGTTTGTATTCCCCATAAGGTCTTCTATTTATTTTGGTAGGAAGGGGAATCTTTAGATCTTTGACATATATTAACCATAAAATTATCTCCTCATCTGATTGGTTAAGAATCCCCAAAGATATGGCAAAATTTGATCTTTAATTGAGCTTCCCGTGAAAATCTACTTTTACCTACCGGTAACAACTCCTTCTATATCGGTAGACAGTGACACCTACCAGTAGAGCATCTGCACTATTCTTCTGTAGCTCAAGCTACTGGTAGAATTGACTTACTACTGGTAGAACCTTTATCTTTCTACCTTCCTATCGGTACAACACCTACTATTAGAACTTCATCTTTCTTCCAAAATAACTTCCAAGGCTCCCGATTTCATCTTCTCTCGAGCATACTCAATCCCAACTTGTCCCTTGCCATCCTGTTAATGCTTTATCTCCACATTTACACCTAAACTACTTTCAAACATATAAATCAAAGCATAAGACACAATATGTACTAAGTGGAGCAAGTTAGTTAGTTAGCAAGTCTAAAGCGAATATGTTAAGCTATAAAATAATACAATATTGAGCACTCAATACTAGTGCAACAATCTGAGACATGAGACAGTCTCCTATAGCCATGACAGAGTGCACCAGAAGATTGCTCTACATTTCTACTGATAGTGTGCCAATTCCATCTAAGAGTGTGAACCTTTACTCATATCATACAAGAATCTATTAATCTCATATTCTGTGTATAAGTTGAACTCTACACACTAGATTATCTAGAATGTAAAATAAAAGACACACTGGCATAGCATATATTTAATATAATGCAAATATTTTACCCAAATAGATTCTCAATAAGAAATAAAGAACTTTTATTAAATAATAAAACTGAGTTTCATTAACAAAAGTAAGCTTTTGGTGTACAACTCTACTACTTTATGCATCTAGAGGACGAAGAGGGAGACTCTTTCATTACTGAGCAAGGACTATATTGCTACCAGGTTTCTTTCGGCTTGAAAAATGCTGGAGAAACATATCAACACTTGCTCAATCACATCTTCAAGAATTTAATTGGAAAAATTATGGAGGTTTACGTCCACAACGTGTTGGTAAAAAGCTAGGTTGCGGAAGACCCTATTACTCAATTTGATTAAGCTTTTCAAATCATAAGAAAGTATCAATTAAAGCTGAATCCAGCTAAGTGTGCCTTTGGAGTATCCTCTAGAAAGTTCCTAGGTTTTATGGTGTGTCAAAAAAGGATAAAGGTGAAAACTGGCAAAATTCAAGCCCTCTTAGACAAGCACGCACCTCGCAACATTAACGAGGTGCAATGCTTGACACATTAGGTACCTACACTTAACAAGTTTGTGTCAAGAGCAAGCGATAGATGTTTGCCTTTCTTCAAGTCATTGAGAAAATCCTTTGAGTGGACACAAAATGTGTATTAGCTTTTAAAAGGCTAGTAGTATGTGGGTTCCCCACTACTCTTATATGGAGCAGAGTTTAGGGAAAGTTTGTATCTTTACCTTGCTATATCCAAAGTAGCTACCAGCTCAGCCCTAGTAAGGGAAGAGCAAGGAGTTCAAAAGCCAATATATCACAATAGGCAAATCCTTAAGGGAGCTAAAACAAGATACTCAAAGCAAGAAAATGTAGTCTTGGCCTTGGTGACAACAACATGAAAACTACACCCTTATTTTCAAGCCCATACTATTATGGTCATGACTGACTCCCCCATCACGCAAGTCTTGGAGAGACTTAAGGTATTAGGAAGGTTAGCCAAATAGGTTATCAAATTATAAGAATTTGATATATTCTATCAGTCTAGAACCCCCATCAAAGGACAAGCAGTAAGATTTCAACTAGAAGCAACTAGCTGCACCTATGAGCCAAGGATTCATGTATAACGGGTAAGTGTAGAACTTGATTTTCTCACAAATCCTTTGTTTTTTCCACTATTTAAAAAAGTGTACTTCCGTCAGTTCCACCCAACCAAACCATTATTGGTCTGGGTTAACCCAAGTTTTCAAAGGGCTGAGCCCTTGATCCCAATGCTTCTATCGAAGTTGAGGACGATGAAGTGTTAGAACTTCTCCATGCAAAATGGGGTAATGCTCAGATAATGTTAGGAATATGTTAGACTTAAAGGCAGAGCCTAGGGCAAAGTTGGAACCAGAATCCTTATAAGGAATTAGGATTCGATTGGCAAGGAGGTCTCGAATGGCATAGCGAAGGTCGATAGAGAATCGAAGGACAGATGTTGTGTTTGAAGGAAGGACAACAATGATGATTTGATCTACTTTCCACTTGGACGCCATTTGAAGATCGAGGAAAGATTTAGATTTGAAGATAAGCCAAGGGTGAATCAAAAGAGAATAGGAGGGGTAAGAATTTGGGTAAGTAAAAATAGTAACTAGGCCTTTTAAATAATGGTTTGGGGGGTCTTTGGCGGTTTCTGACTATTCACTTACCCGATTGAATGAAGTGAATCAACTATTGAAAGTTGCCTTAAGTGCAATTCTAAAAAAGGAACAACGGATATGACTATTCATTTATTTTGGTTAATTACGAGATAAACCTAATTAAATGAGGGGGGCATTGTTTGGACTTAAAATATAAAATTATAAGAACATTTGATGCATGTGTTGTCGGCAAGCTTAAAGTTATTAAAAGGTTTCCACGTGTCAACATTTGAAGAAAATGAGGGAAATGATCAGTCATAGCTTTGGTTTGAAAGAAGGAATAACTGCCTAGTAGTTCAATAAATTGTCGATAAAAGAAAATTATCGAAGGAAGTGGCTATAAAAAAAGAAAAAGAAGGAAGTTGAAGGATAACTGAAACCCCCACAAGACCCACGGTTAGGTCATTTAGGAGTTGTGTTAAAGTTAGTTTTAAGAAGTAGTTAGTGCTATACTCAAAGGCTGTTAATTTAGTCTCTCTGTAACTGAAACTCATTCGATTGGATTAATAAAGTAGTTTGCTTTTATTGATTCATTATTCTGTGTATTTATCGCTTTAAAAATTCATTCAAGGAAGTCCTGAAACACAACGTTTGAACCAATCCACAAGCAATCACCTGAAAATTATCTGTTAATTGAGGCATTATGTCGATCGCAACAAAATTTGGAGCAACAGTACCATACTGGAGTTGAATAGGAGTCTTAGATCTTGGTTTGATGCATTGTAGACATGGATTTTAAAATAGTAAATTAAATGAAATTATAATATAAAAAAACCTTATATTTTTCATATTTCTATTGAACAAAAAATAAAAGTATGATACTACAAATTTTTTGGGTATCGTAGTTGAAACCGTAGCAAATATATGATTGATGTTCATGGTCCCCGAGTAGAGCTGCATTAGATTTGATATTGTCTCTTGCCTTCAATGGAGTTGGGATTACGGATGGAACCAAACTGAGCCTGAGTCAAAAACTAGAATATTCTAGCTTATTCGTTAGCCTACACACGTTAGTTTCCTTTCAATCTTGAATTTAGCTCAACTCGTCTGATTAAACAAATCGAGCTAATTGAACTCAAGTTAGGCTTGTACACACATATACACATATGAAACAGTTTACAGGGATATATTTGCATTTGAATTCGTAAAAGAGACTTCGGCATTCAATTACACTTTACTCAGATCATCTTCTTTTTTGAGACATAACTAGGCAAAAAGGAAAGGAAATCCACCTCCGAGATAGTAGTTTTCGATGAGCCGGGAATAAATTGACTAAAAAACCTCCACTGAAAGCAGATGGTACCTTCCTTTTTTTGGTGAGTGGTAACCACCTCTATAGTGCTTTTTTCGCTTAGCCAAGAAAAAGTCCAACCTTTCCAAACCACAAATCCAAATTCATCACTTTCGATGAACTTTCTTAAACATGCAAACAGGAGGAAAAATACATATAACTTAAGCATCACTTATCTTCCGTGTGCTGTACTGTACTGCAATTAAATTTCTGGTCCACAAGGCGTGAATTGTGGTTCATAGGGAATTGCATGACTTTGACTCTTGCTCGTCACTTATCTTCCGTTCTGATCAACCCTGAAAACATAAAAGGAAAAAAGGAGACACATATACATGGAAAGATAAACACAACAAGGAAAAAAATAATATACCAGAGATGATGGGCTATTTCATCTCAATTTTTCTTCTCCCATACTTGTTCAGTGGTTGGTCTGCCCAAACTTCAGCTGTAATCACGGGAAGTTCTTCTTCAATTTCAACAGCAAGCAACATATTCTACCTTAATTCAAGCCTCCCTTCGATGTGGTACAACAATAACTCAAAGAATATGACTATCCTTGGGGATGATGAATCAGTGATAAGAGTAGTCCTCTCAAGCCAATACGACCGGGGTTATGTTTGTGGATTCTACTGCATAAACATCTGCTATGATTACTTGCTCTCGGTCATCGTTGTTGGTATAGGCAATCCAAGTGTAGTTTGGTCAGCAAACAGAGACCATCCAGTGCAGGAGAACGCGACCTTACAACTAACAGGAGATGGAGATTTGGTGCTACGAAACTCAAATGGCACCAAGGTGTGGTCATCCAATACCACAGGAAAGTCGGTATTGGGATTAAAAATGACTGAAGCAGGAAACTTGGTCCTCTTTAACAACAACGAAGCCATTGTTTGGCAATCTTTTGATCACCCTACTGATACACTGCTCACTGGGCAGCGCTTAAACGAGGGCCAGAGACTAACTGCGAGTGCCTCTAAATCCAGTTGGACCCGGGAATTGTACTATGCCACGTTAACATCGACCTCCGGTTTTGCTGCATACACTGAAGTCCATCAAGGCCCACCATTGATGTATTATCAATTGGTACCTGTTCAGAGTTCACGCAGTAGTGGCAGATCCAATTATGCAGAATTCCAACTAGGAGGGTTCGTTGTTAACTTGGGAACATTTCAGCAAAAATTTGCAAGATATGGCTTCAATCTACCTTATTCGCACATTGATTATCTAAGACTTGACAGTGATGGGCATTTAAAGATATACAGACATGGTGAAGGAAGGGGATTTTATGAGGTTCTTGATTTGGTTAGCGTTGACCTAGGCGTGTGTCAATATCCTCGCAGCTGTGGAGAATATGGAGTATGCCAAGAAGGGGAATGTAGTTGTCCCACAGGCCTAGACAGAGTTCAATATTTTGATCGAAGTCTTCAGTCACCCAGTCAGGGCTGCTCTAGATTAACCCCTTTGTCTTGCCACCCTTCCCCAGATCAACACAAACTTGTTGAGGTAAGAAATGTTACCTTCTTCAATGTCATCAATTCAGTTGCTGCACTTCCAAATATCAGAGACATAAACGGATGCACGGAGGCTTGCCTGCAAAACTGTTCTTGTGGTGCAGTCTTTTTCAGGTATTACCACAATGTTTCAGATGGGTATTGTTTTATGCCACCTGAGATCTTGTCAATTAGAGAAGGGAAAATTCCAAATTACAATTTCATGTCAACCACATATATTAAGGTACAAATTCCATACGAGGCACCAAGTCCATCTCCAAGAAATCAAACAAATTTTGCAGCAATAATTGCAGGGTCTAGTGCTGGTTCGTCTGTCTTTGTATGCATTGTAATTGCAATCCTGGTTATGTGGCATGAACGAAACAAAGATGATGAGGAAGACTATATCGGCCATCTCCCGGGGATGCCGAAGAGGTTTTCATTTGAAGAACTACGTGTTGCAACAGAGGATTTTAAGGAGAGACTTGGTGCCGGAGGATTTGGGACCGTGTTTAGTGGAACGCTTGGAGATGGTACTAAGGTTGCAGTGAAGCGGTTGGACAAACTAAGCCAAGCGATGAAGGAGTTCTTAGCAGAAGTTCAATCAATTGGAAGCATACACCATTTTAATCTCGTGCAATTGATTGGATTTTGTGCAGAAAGATCTTTCAAACTTCTGGTGTACGAATACATGAGTAATGGGTCTTTGGATAAGTGGATATTCAACAAGGATCAGGGAGCTTGCCTCAATTGGCAAGCCCGAGAGAAGATTATACTTGACATAGCCAAAGGGTTGGCTTATTTACATGAAGAATGCCGACAGAGGATTATTCACCTCGATATCAAGCCACAAAACATTCTGCTAGATGAAAATTTCAATGCTAAAGTCTCTGATTTCGGATTAGCTAAGCTTATAGATAGGGATGAGAGCCAAGTTCTAACAACAATGAGAGGAACTCCAGGGTATCTTGCTCCTGAATGGCGACTCCTAAGAATCACAGTGAAGGTCGACATCTATAGCTTTGGGATTGTTCTTCTCGAAATAGTTTGCAGGCGAAAAAACTTGGATTGCCAACGTTCAGAATCTAGCTCTCATTTGCTTAAATTGTTGCAAAAGAAGGCCAAAGAGGACAAACTACTTGATTTAGTTGAGCATTTGCAGGAAGGCATGGAAGATCATAGAGAAGAAATCGTGAGGATGATAAAGACTGCAGCATGGTGCTTGCAAGATGATCACACGAGGAGGCCTTCTATGGCAACAATAGTGAAGGTCTTGGAAGGGGTAATGGAGGTGGATCCAAACATCAGCTATAACTTCACTCATGCAATGGGATCTCAAGTTGTAGCAAAGGGTCGTGCTTCTACGCCACCCCAAGCTTCTGTTCTTTCTGGTCCTAGATGAAATACAAACAAGTCATAACTCACTTCCCTGGCAATGGTCTCAAGGTGTGCAAAACTACTACTAGTTTGGCTCCAGAACTTCTCCTTCTAGCTTTTTAGAGAGTCATTTAGTACCATTGTCAATATAGTAGTTTTGTCCAATTCTTACTAAGGGGCTAATTACAAAAAACCTCCGTGGATAAACAGTCAATTGCACACAACCACCTTCAATGATTATGAGTTTCACTAAACCCCTCGTAGTTAAAAACGAAATGCAAAATACAAAAATAATCTCCTACTGAAGACTGAAGACACTCATGTAGATGTATTTTTACCACACTCTGGCAACCACTCGACCTAGTCACCCTCCACCCCAAGCTCTAGTACTATAAAGCCCGCTGGTCTAAAATTAAACCAAGAATTGAGAAGTTAGATAATAAACAAGGATAGAAAGAGAAACAGACCTGAATAGGGAGAAAGAGAAAGAGACTTGAAAAGTAAAAAGATGTAATCTACTTGGCATGATGATTTGTGTGTTAATTGTATGCTCTAAGACCAATCATATAGGTGTTTTGGGGTAGCACTAGCAACATTCATTACTTAATTAAATAAAAGGAAAATTTTATTTATCATGTTTCTATTTTGTTTCATTTTAATATACATGATATAGTCCATAGAGTATAAATTAAGAAGATGCTTTCTCAAGGAGTTGAGAAGAGGAGACCTATACTTCTTAGTACTTAACTCTTAAATGTTCCTAGTCATAAGATTACTATGTGTACACTATGTAATCCAGATAGACTATCATACATTATGTTTACTCATATTTGATATAAGGTGATTTGTCCAAATCACCAGTGTAGAGATACTGAAGCAGATGTGTGAGTGCTTGTTAGAGAACAAGTACACTGAACGTGACTATTGACTAACGTAGAATTTTTCATATGGAGTTTTATGTGTCTGTCAATGTTAAATCCTAAAGATACAATTATGCAATTGATTCTTAGACTTGAGATACTATGGTTGTCTTGTGCATAAACTTCTATGTTTTAACCATATAACATATTCATATACTAACTTTAAAATATTACGGAATATTGATTAAATTTATTGTCGAAGTATTAATGGTTTATAAGAGTCATAAATAGGATACTCATTAAGAAAGATATACTTAGGTAACCTTATTTTGTGGTGAGCTTAGTTGACTACACTTAGACTCTCTAAACTATTAACAATCAAAATTCTCTTGGTGGAGTGTGGAGTTAATAGTTGATTTATATTTACAAATTTTGATTGGAAATTTGAGGTCGAGTAATGGAAATGAATTTATACATATGTAAAAAGGAAATCTAGGAAGCCTAATTAAGTTGTAGTAGTTACTTTTGATCCTCAATATTCTAGGATTAAATATTATAGAGGTCTAAAAGTTCAAGGTCAGATGAAGTAGGCAATTATTGAAATAAGGATGATTTAAATGTTTGGTGTTTAACTTCTATCGTTATGTGAGATCTTTTAAATGTTATTGGAGTTGTGATTGGGAGAAAATGAAGTTATTTTTCTTTTTTCTTTTAGTACATTATTAAGATATGTTTGATTAGTCATACTTGAGGATTGTTTGTTTGAGCATTGAAGATTCGAACTTTACAGTTAGTGGTGAAAATTGGAAAGATGTAATTGGAGGAATCAATGATGATACCTACATAGATTGGCTTTGACATGGATGTAGAAACTTTATGTAATGTTAGAGATGAATGACTATGGTTATCCTAGTAATTAGAAGATCATTATTATCCTGAAGATTATGAATAATGGTTAAGGCTATGATAATTAATGTGGTTAAATCGAGAAATATTAGTTAATCATCGGGAGTCTTGTTTTTTTTGCTATGATTGTATTACAAGAAATCTGATCGTATTGAATTGAGGGAGATTTGTGATCTTTCATTATGAATTAGAAATATATTTATCCAAGATTGAATCATGAGAATTAAAGATTATATGTAATCAATAGAAAGGATGGGGTGTAGAAACCGTTAGGTATTGATTACATGGGTTATTGATTCTACCTCAAGTTCAGAGATTGAGAAGGAATACTTGGGACATAGAGAAAATGACTATTAGAAATCGATTTGGTGAATAATGTGGAGAAATCCTAATAGTGGAATTGCATTTGAGTATTTTGATTTGCTTATGGATAAGCTACATCTAAAAAGCAAACATGAGATTTATTGAAATCATTGGTGAAATTCAAAAGAGAAGTGATATTTAAGGAGTAGACAATTAAGTATTATGATCTAGCAGTTATACATGATAATAAATTAGATGGAACAATCTTATACAATTATTGAGAATAGAGGTGATAAATGAATTCTATTGAAGGAATGTAATCTTGGAGACTTTAAGTAACTGCAATGATGTTATAAGTGAAAAAGATGGATATAAATTTAGAATACAATATTCTATTCTGATCTTGGATTTGATGGTTAAGGAACTAATATACGTTGAGAACCTGTGGTAAATTAGAATTAGATAGACCAACTCGACGATTAAGTTTCGAGGACGAAACTTTCTTTTAGGGGGGTGGATTGTAACATCCCGTATTGAAATTAAATAAATATAATATTACCTTAAGAGTTCTTTTAAGACGAATAAAATAATAATATAAACTTAGAATAATTGTTAAAATATTGATTATGAAATTTAAGTTTCAAGCATATTTGACTTTCAGAATAAATTGAGTTTTAGAGATGTTTAAGTTTTAGAAGGGTGACTAAGTAATTTTATAAATATTTCTAGATCAAAATAAGGTTTCCATTGAATCTGGAATGTCGAAAAATAATGGAAGAGGTTATATGAGTTGTATTAGAAATTTAGAAGTATTCTAGAGTTAAAACTTATTTTGAATAGGATTAGGGTGAAAAGGAATTTGATATAGCCTTCGTATTTTGGATATAACTATTTACCCTAATGTCTAATTAACCTGAAATTTTTACAGTAGAAACTAGACTTCAAGGAATAAAACAATGTATTTCACTACAATGTTGTGAAATGGCCTCTAACTAGGTCAAAATCGAGTTAAAAGTCAGGCGCAGACTGCTACCCGCGCCAACTCGGGAATTCCCTATTTTTTAGCCTATAAATACCCTAGGGCTATGATCTAAAGAGTCATTACCTAATATTCAACCCTAATAAACCTAGAAAATTTTGAGGAGAAGAAAAGGAGGAAGAATGGGATAAATCTTAAAGGTTTAACATGGGGTAATCGCAATGAAACACATTAGGATCAAGATTCAAGAATTAAGGTAGGAGATTCTTCTTGAGTTCTTTCATTGAGACTTAGGGTATTATGTATGTATGTTTTCAATCCTCTTGATAATTATATGATAAATATGTATGAATTCTTGGTTTTTTAATCATTGGAACATGGTTTTAAACAAAATACATGCTTGGGTTCAAGGAACACTTGTTCTTGAATTTCCAAAACCCTAGTTTTTCCAAAATACATGTTCTATTGTAAAATTCATATGGATTCTTGATTTCTAAATTCCTATTCTTGATTATATTATGCTTTCATCTAATATTTGTTCTTATTCTAAGAAATTATGATTTTTGGCTAAACTCTAGAATTTTGATATCGAAATTGTGAAAGTATTCTTGAGATGATCTCTTGCATATTTTAATTCCTTTAGTAATATAGTATATTGAGAATTGTGCATTTGTGATACTTGAATTGTTAATGGAAATTGGAATTGGTTAAGATTGTGATTGTTGAGAAAGTTGTGGTTTCATCTCTTGCATGGTTTGTTGTGATGGACCTGATTCGAGAGCTGTAGTAGAGTGTTAGAGGTTAGTTTATCTCAGTGGGGGTGAGATGGTTTCCTAGCACTTGTAGTGAATATTTTTTTATGCACATAAGTTCGAGGCTGAGGGATGGTATACCTTTCTTGGGAAGGATTCGTCAATGCCGTGGGAGACGGTATACGCCCTTCCTAAAGTGGTTTGTGATTTGGCCCTGCGGGGAATAATTGAGATTATGTGGTTGTGGTGAGTGAACGAGGTAGAATCGTTGCATAGATTCCTGAGAAGCAACCAACATACATGACAATGAGGATGAACCAATATACATGAGAATATTGAATGATGTTACTGAGTTATTTATTGATTGCTTTAATTTCTTGCAAGTTTATTCCTGTCATTGATTTACTGTATTCCGTACACTTGAGATCATTACAACTACCATGGTTTTATTCTCAAAAATCTTTATATTCTATTTTCCAAAATAGACTTGTCATATTTTAATGTTTTAAACCTTGTTGGGATTTGAGAGGGATTTCCTACGGACTTTTGCTCACCCCCTACAACACACTTATAGATTTTGGCATAGAAGAGGATGTCAATGTGGATGAGCAGATTGATTACAAGCCGTTGGAGGTTTAAGATGGAGATCCTACCTTAGAGGAATAAAATTGATCTATTTTTGGTTTTGAGTTTGAGAGATTTCTATGAAACAATGTTTTAACTAGTTTTAATTATTCCGCTGCTAAATATTTTTGGTTTTGAATTGGAAGTTGAAGAAGTTTCAATATTTTATTGGCTTTAGTATTTATTCCTTGTCAGATGGATGAATGATTTATTATTTAATAGTTATTATAGCTGCTCTCATGGTTGGAGGATTTTTTAGATAGTAATGCCTTCCAGGGTGAATTTTGGGGCGTTATAGTTATGCAATTGATTCTTAAACTTGAGACACCATGGTTGTCTTGTGCATGAACTTCTATGTTTTAACCATATAACATATTCATAGACTAACCATGTAACTTGGATATGTATTGTTGGACATAGTTAGACATGCATGAAGACTTATGAGTGTACTGGAATCTATCACCCTTAGTAATTAAAGGGAGAATGTCTTATGTGATCTTATGGGATATGACTTAAGGAGTCTTTGGCCAAGGAAGATTGACAATTAGAAAAAAGAGTTTCTAATTGATCATTAAGAGTTCTAGTCCTAACATAAAATACATAAGACTGAGTTAGGGGTTTGACAATAATTCTATACCCTAATAATCCAATTGGGACATTGTGTGATAGAAGGATTAAATTCCATGACAACTATAGACTGAATAAGTTCTTTAACTACTTCATGCTATCTGGAGGTTAATTATAATATGTTGCTAGGTGTCACTCATGATTATTATAAGTCTGAAGAATGAAATTAATATAAATATGTTAATTATTCTTTATAAAGGGAGACTTAGAAGAGTTCTAATTCAAGACAAATTAGAAAAAGTTCTAATTTTATATGCTACTTGTAGTTAATATCAAATGCCTACAACAAAATATGCTTGAACCTATATGGTCACACACAATACAATTGATTGGAAACTAAAGGATAAATGAGAGAAAACAAATTAAGAGTTAATTGGGGGTTGAAAACCTAATTAAGAGTTAATTAGAGACTTTATTACAATTAATAGTTAATAAAGGGTCATATGTTATTATGAGATAATTGCAACTAGACCCAAACAATGATTAGAATCTTCTAAGGTTCTATACATGCCTATAAGAGGTGGATATGATATAACA